TTGGCTTTGTGGATAATGTCTCTTAGTACTATATAAGACTCAACATCGATAATATCAAGAATTACTTGCCCTTTAGCATTAGTAATCTTGGTTGGTCTGCCAGATCTGGAGGTATTAAGTGTGTTTCCATCTTTAGATTTCACATTTTTAACCACTATTGAAACAGTTGACTTGGAGAGATTCAAAAGCTTTGAAATTTTACCATACCCCATATCAGTATATTTATAAAGGGCATAGATTTCCCTTTTCTGGTCTTCTCTAGAGGTTTGAAAATGTGGTGGTACTATAGTGCAGGGGGTGGTGTTGAAGTGATCCATGGTTGTGGCATTGCTAAGAGGAGTATGTAGACTTTTCTGACATGACTGTACTTGTAAATCTCCACCATCTACCTAACAGAGGAAGCTGAGGGGAGGTTGACCAGACATTGTTACTCCCAATGATATTTGCAATATCTTGCTTATTACAAGCGAGACTGTATATGTCTAGTTGATTCATTTTAACTGGCAGAGCATGCTAGTCAAGTATCACCTTTCGCCAGACTCAGAGATACTTTGATTCCATTTGGTTAAGCATTAAGGACAACTTGAAACCCCAGTTCTTGCATTCTAAGAAACTAAGGTTTACAACATCTACAAGGTGCTATCTATAGGCACCAGGCACTTTCAGAACCAGGTAAGTTGTAATGATGGGATTCATTTACAGACTGGTGGAGAGTAAATGTATAGCGTACTCAGGAGACGTCTTCCAGTAAATCTCATAGTACTGTTTAAGCTCTGATAATATGGGTACATGGATAGAGTCTACCTAGTCACCTGTATTCAGATGTTGAATGTTCTTAACTCTGGACATCCATTAGAGCTACATGATCTTTTCACTTTACAGCTAAGACAGGATGCCTGAAAGTTTATTATAGTAGACATTGGTACAATCTTAGGACTAGCTTACCTAATTCTGCAGGCAGACTGGTAATATAACTGTAGTAGCTAATCCCTTTTACCTTTCAGATACTCTCTATTTTTGTACCTTGCATTGCTTCTTATTTCTTGACTCTTTTTATTATTTTTCTCTTTTCTATATTGGTAATCTTGTCGATCTGAAAAGTGATGAGAACATACTATGATCAGAAAATACAAAGAAGTATTTCCTAAAAGGGGGTGCTTGGCGAATTAAGTGAGGAGGTCTACTGTGTATATAAGGAAGGGATAGATCCTTTCTACCTTCTTTCTTTTTCTCCTCATACAACCTGGTATCTACTTCTTGGAACTATGAATACAAACTTCTTCTCTCTTTTTTAATTCTCTTAAAACTCTACAGAACTTCCTGAACATCAGTAACCATGAAACATCAGAACCTCAGAATACCTGAATCCCTCACAAACCTCTGGTACCTCTGCCTATTTCCTGAATCTCTCCTGAATCTCTGCTACACTTGACTACTCTTGGACCTCTCATGAATTGCCTAATCACCTGACATACTCCTGGAATCTCTACAAAAATCTCAGAGCTCTTGAGTGTACCTTGAATAGTCTTAAACCCCAGCCAGTCCTGTTACACAAGGTTGCATTTCTTATTATTCAACCTA